CTGTAGGTCCATCAGCCACCACCCATAGAGCGTCCCCGCCAACTTTTATCGCAAAGTTACACCCTTGCTCTGGTGAATTTCAATGGTGAAGTCCTCTGGAAATCTTCAATAATTGTTGTTGATTGCAGATGTGTCTACTAGTGTCTAGTATTTAAACAATGTTACTCTGTTTAGGTATGACATAAAATCCCTCAAATACCTGGTTTTGTCTAATATGAGAATATAGAGGCGAAAAAACAAACTGATTCTTTAGAGTTTTAACATTAAAAATAACAAGAGAACAAATAAAACATAAAAGAGGCGACAGACTCAGATGGATGAATGCTAGCGCTTTATTAACCACTGAATCCTTTCCGTTAATCATCGTCGTAATGAAGCATCAGTTTGTGCTGAACATATTTACAGCTCAAAGATAATCATCAATCCTGTTTGCTTTTTTCTTTATTTTTAAAGTGCAACTCCTTCACTTTTATGTCTGGTTACAGTGAGAAACAACCCCCCCCCCCCCCCCCCCCCCCAAAAAAAAAAAACAGGAATAGTCCAATAAAATGGATTAAATTTTCAGTAAAAACTGTAAATATAGCTGGACTTTAATATTTCGGTTATCACCCAGAATCAGTGGGAGAAGATCAAACCATTCACATGATAAAAAGAAAAAAGATCAAAAGGAATAAAAACACCAAACCCAAATCTGATCAATAAAAACCAAAAACAAAACTTTGACTCAGAAAAAAAAGTCTGATTTTATGACACATTATACTAAAGGTTGACATTTTCTTCAAAGAAGTGACCAAAAATAAAAAGTCAGAATAAAACAGATATTTGTGATTAACGGACATTAGAGCTGCGTTCAATAAACCAAACAAAACCCCCAGATGGAAGAATAAAGCACATTTGGCTGATTAAACACATTATATTCATTCAAGATTAAGATTTATAATGTAAGGTCCACTCTGTGGTTCGTTTAGCCCGAACGGCTAAAAAAAACGTTGGCAAACTGAGCTGAGGATGGTTTTGTTTACAGAAAACAAAAATGCAGCAGAGGAGAAATCTTAAGTGTTAAAATGAAGCCTGGTTAGTATTTTCTATCAGAGTTAATCACTGGAGCAGATTGCTGAGTATATTTACAGCAACAATAATGAAAAATATTCAGATTTATTTTCTTCTAGTAATCCTGTTCTATGGCTTTGATTAAAGGAAAAGTCCGCTCATAATCAGAATCCAAACGTCTGAAAGTACTTTTCCCCGATGTATTCCAGCATCCAGCTGCCATGCACGTGGGCATTGTCAGTTTCACTATAGCTCTGGTGAATTTCAATGGTGAAGTCCTCTGGAAATCTTCAATAATTGTTGTTGGTTGCAGATGTGTCTAGTAGTTCCCACTGATTTAGCTTGTAAAGCGGGGAGAATGGCGCTAGGATTACCGCACCGTGACGTCACTGCTGGAAGATGGCAGGAGGGAGGGGCTACTATATTTGGGCAAAAATGGCCGCTCCCAGATCGCAACTGATATTATTATTTTTCTGATTAAGGCTAAATTCATTAAATCTCAGTGAACGTGTTAGGTTCAGGTATAAATAATGATCCAATGATTATTCCTTGCTGACCGGACTTTTCCTTTAAGGACCCCTTTATAATCAGGTTTTCCTTCTGCAGAATGTTGCACTTACACAACTTAAAATAAAGAAATAATCCATTTTACTGGTTCTTAGTGAAATTCACAATGATTGAAATAAAAAAGCTGCTGTTAAAGCAGCGGCAGTCAGTGATTTTAGGCAAAACTTCAGTAACTTCAGAGGCGAAAGTTTCCTTCACCACATAAAAACAACCTCTAGTCTAAGGAGGCAAACATGGCCGAATTTTGCTGCAAAATGACTTTATTTTAAAGTTTATGTGATGCAATCAGCAGCCAGTCAGCTGATCTGTTTACATTTACAGGCTTCATTTCAGCAGAGAAGTTAGCAGGCGTTTAGCTCACTTCCCGTCTCCTTGGTTTTTCCTTTTAGTGTTCTCAGCCTCACTATTTAGTATTTTAAGAAATTTTGGCACCTTGAGATGATTTTTAATCAGCAAACGTTTCAAAGCGTCTCTTAGTGCCTGACAAACAGAGTTTAGGACGTGCGCTGGTGAAGGTCCTCAGTCATCCAGGTCATAGCCATAAAACAAAAAAGAAAATGAAAAACAATCCTCTGGACTTTGTTTCCAAGTTTGAAGACATTTCTCTTCCATCCAGGAAGCTTTTTCAATTAAAATGATCAGAAATAGTGTTGAGTTCCAGGCTCATCTATTCATCCAGCCCAACAATTCCCTCTAACGACCTTTCAGAGACATAGACAGTTATGGGGCATTGCAGGCTAACAAAGAAACCAAATGACCCCCATTCCAAAGGGGGGGACCCGTTCATCCGTTTCTATTTGCATGTTTTCTAAACTAAAACCAGGCTTTGTTGGGCTGCTGGATAAAACCTGGAACTCAACGCTATTTCTGACATTTTGAATTGAAAAAGCTTCCTGGATGGAAGAGAAACAAAGTCCAGTGGATTGTTTTTAATTTTATTTTTTTTGGAATTTCAGGACCTGTCTGTCAGATAGCTGAAAGCTAACAGGAAGCACCAGTCTGGGTGAGGATGTGGCAGTGATTTAGCTCAGGGTGAACTTTCATTGCTTGAAGAAGATGACTCATTCCTCCACCTGCAAATACAAGTGAGCTCAGGTCCAATCAGAGACCCGATTATCTGAGGAGTCTTCCTGCAGGTACAGACAGACCCGTAGGAGGACCTATCGATGAAACAGTTTCCTTCAGAGCAGTGAAATCTCCCAGGAAAAACTAAAATAAAACATGAGGTGGCAGCAGGGCAGCATTCAGCCTCCTAACGTTTAACTGGGCCAGATGAAGGTTGATACCGTTTCTATGGCGATTCCACTAAAGCCGGGCGTACACTCTACGATTTGTTGCCCTTTCCGGGCTGATTTTCCAGTCGTGAGAGAATTTTTAGATCGGGCTGACTTTCATGCGTCATGCGTCCTCTCTCCCATACCCCCTTTACTGTCGAAAAAACAAGCCACTAGTGCCGTAAAAACTACAAAAAAAAGAAAAAGTGACTGTAAGCCAACTCCATAGCGTGGCTGATATAAGTATACGCAGTTTATTAGTCTGGTAAGGGGCTGGGACAGCTTGATTTCAAAGGCGGCACTAAAGCTAGCATACACTCTACGATTTTTTTTGCCCTTTTCGGGCTGATTTTCTAGTCCTGCGAGAATTTTTCAATCAGGCCGACTTTCAGCCTTAACGTGCATCGTGTAGCGTCGGGTAACATAGCTCGCACAGTGTGAGCTGTAGCTGCGTGCAATGATCTAAAAAATTCGCAGAACGTATGCCCGGCTTAAGAAGACCAAATAATGTTTTCTATAGGACTCCATCTTTAATACAGGAAGGCCCACAGCAACACAGAGCCACCACTGTACTTAAGATTGATCTGTTTGCTAGTGAGAAGCTCAGCCTGGTTCTTCATGTCTGACTAAAATCCCAAAGTTTATTATGCTCCACGCGTTTGAGCACGAAGCCTTTTTTTCTTCTAAACCTCTAATCTGCATGTATGAGTCAGCAGCTGCAACAAATGGGCCTTTGTCACGTCGTGTTTATTCCCCAAGTAAACAGCAAGTCCTGGATAAGGAGTTCCTAGAAACTCTGATCAACGCAAAAAAAAAAAGGATTCAGTTTTCTTTATTTGTTTAAATCAGCAGTGACTGCCTTTATGATTTTATCCAACATACTTTTAAAAGTATGTTGGACAAAATCATGAAATCTTCTTCAAAGCTGTTTTCGATCATCAACGTAAAACGGAAGCAGCTTTCTGGGGTAAAGACGAATGGAATCGTCTGTTAATAAATGCTAATAAATGTATGAATGTTTCATTGTGTTCATTTCTTGTAGGGGCACTTCTGCGATAGATTCAAACCTGTAAATATATGATTTTCATAAAGTTCTAACTTTATTTGCATCTCACTTAGCTCTCAATCTGCAGGTTTACTAGTGGTTCCTAGAACTTCTAAAAGTAGAATGGGAGGCAGATCTTTTAGTTCTCAGGCTCCTCTCCTGTGGAACCATCTACCAGTTTTAGTCTGTGAGGCAGACACCCTGTCTACTTTTAAGGCTAGGCTTAAAACTTTCCTTTTTGATAAAGCTTCTAGTTAGAGTGGCTCAGGTTATCCTGAGCTATCTCTATAGTTATGCTGCTATAGGCTTAGACTGCTGGAGGACATAGGGACCCCTATTTCATCATTCTGCTTCATTTTATCTGTAACCTAAATTTCAGACACTTATGCGTATGTTTTTTCTGACAGTTAGCTTCCCACACATGTTTATGTGATGTTCCAACCAACTCGCCTGAGCCTTGATTCACTTGGACTGAATAAGAGAGGTAAAGGTAAATCAATACGCTGAACGTCTGGAATCGTCCGACATTCAGCTTCTATCTGGACGCAGAAACATTAACAGATAGAAATAAAACTCTTCTTCAGGATGGCTGTCGACAGAAAGGCCTTTTCAAAATAAAAGTCTGTGCTTTTACGCTCATTTTAAGAACAGCGAATGTTGTTTTCCCACCAGACGGAGTCCTCAGCTGCAGAAATCGTTCCTCCTTGCTCGAGTGGCTTTAGTACAACCTGATCGTCAGGCTGGACTTTGCTTCTACATCTCCTTCTGGTCCTTCAGATCTAGTAGCTTCTGTTTAAATGTCACAGTTAACTTGTCTTAAAAAATAAACATTTAGAAAAACAGAAACCTGAAGGTAATCTTAATGTGGAGCCAGTAGAAAAGCTTTGTGTTTTTTGCACAGAATAAAAACCATTTCATGTTTCCCTGCCTTCTCCTCCTACGTACAGGTGTGTTCAGTCCAGCAGAGGAAACGCGTCGTCTTTTTTAGTCCCCGCGATTCACAGCAGGCGAGTTGTTCCAATTGGTCAGCTGTCAGCCAAAAAGCACGCACCCACTGAGAGTCATTAGGCTTCTGACTCACCCCGCTTTTTCCCCTCCTCCCCTACTTCGCTCTCCTCCGATTGGCTACTGCTGAGCACCAGAAACTGCCCATCTGGAGCGGGTGGGTTGGCAGTGCGACTTGAGGCAGCGATCAAGCGACTCTGTTCTTCTAAATCCTGCAGTTAAGACAGAAGAATTGAAAAAGACGGCGAGGTGAAAACATAAACATTGTGCTGTAAAGGTTTCTTTCAGACCCATTTATCAGCTCTCCATGTGGAAATGAAGGGTTGTTTTTTTTTTTAACATAACATCTGTTACCTCTATGAGGCATAAATGTGTCCCTGATGGGCTCCCATCCTTAACAGGACCCGTATTTAGGGACCATGGAGTCTGGAATAAACAAATCTGCTGCGTCATGAGCTGCATGTTGTTTTTGTCAGCGCTGATTGACTCATCGCTAAAGCTCCGCTTCATGATAAAAATGAGACTGGGTGAAATAAAAGCGTTCTAAAACACAACGAAAGTGGTAACATTAGAATAAAGTCATAAAATTACTAGAACAAAGTTGAAAAATTACACGAAGTCATCATACTACAACAAGTTTCAAAAAGAAAGCTTCAAGCTCCGCTCAGCAGATGCTGGCTGACCAGCTCCACTTTGTCTCAGACATAATGATAATAATTTAATGCTAAAAAACTTAATATTTCCTGGTGCCAAAGTATAACTTCACAAGATACTGAACATTCTTCATTTTAGGCAAGACGGGGCTTCTTGGAAGAATTCATAAAATACAACTTTATTATAATAATATCATGATTTTTTTCTTGTAATATTATAACATTATTCTTGTAATGTTATAATTTTACTTGTAATTTTACAATTTTATTCGCATAATATTACAACTTTACTCTCATTTATGACTTTATTCTCCAAACGCTGCAACCTTATTCTCGTAATATTATGAGTATTGTTATGATTTTTTACAACTTTATTCTCATAGTAGTATTTTGACTTTATACTCATATTACGAATTTATTCTCATTTATGACTGTATTCTCGTAATATTATGACTTTATTCTCCTAACGTTGCGACTTTATTCTCCTAACATTGTGACTTTATTCTCGTAATATTATGACTTTATTCTCCTAAAATTGCGACTTTATTCTCGTAATATAACTTTATTCTCCTAAAATTGCGACTTTATTCTCCTAAAATTGCGACTTTATTCTCCTAACATTGCGACTTTATTCTCCTAACATTGCGACTTTATTCTCCTAAAATTGTGACTTTATTCTCCTAACATTGCGACTTTATTCTCCTAACATTGCAACTTTATTCTCGTAATATAACGACTTTATTCTCCTAACATTGCGACTTTATTCTCGTAATATAACGTCTTTATTCTCGTAATATAACGACTTTATTCTCGTAATATAACGACTTTATTCTCCTGACATTGCGACTTTATTCTCCTAACATTGCGACTTTATTCTCCTAACATTGCCACTTTATTCTCGTAATATAACGACTTTATTCTCCTAACATTTCGACTTTATTCTCCTAACATTGTGACTGTATTCTCGTAATATTATGACTTTATTCTCCAAACGTTGTGACTTTATTCTCGTAATATTATAACTTTATTCTCCTAAAATTGCGACTTTATTCTCGTAATATAACTTTATTCTCCTAAAATTGCGACTTTATTCTCCTAAAATTGCGACTTTATTCTCCTAAAATTGCGACTATTCTCCTAACATTGCAACTTTATTCTCCTAAAATTGCGACTTTATTCTCCTAACATTGCGACTTTATTCTCCTAACATTGCAACTTTATTCTCGTAATATAACGACTTTATTCTCCTAACATTGCAACTTTATTCTCGTAATATAACGACTTTATTCTCCTAACATTGCGACTTGATTCTCGTAATATAACGTCTTTATTCTCGTAATATAACGACTTTATTCTCCTAACACTGCGACTTTATTCTCGTAATATAACGACTTAATTCTCGTAAATAACGACTTTACTCTCGTAATATAACGACTTTATTCTCGTAATATAACGACTTTATTCTCCTGACATTGCGACTTTATTCTCCTAACATTGCGACTTTATTCTCCTAAAATTGCCACTTTATTCTCGTAATATAACGACTTTATTCTCCTAACATTTCGACTTTATTCTCCTAACATTGCGACTTTATTCTCTTAATATTATGACGTTATTCCCGTAATATTATGACTTTACTCTCGTGATATTATTACTTTATTCAACAGTTTATTAACACCTAAATTAAATTCAAATGTAGAAACCTGCCGGCAGAATATGTTGGCTTTTATTATCCTGCTGCCTGCAGTTTGTAGCACAGACCTGAAAAACTCTAACATCTACTTCCAGCCGCCACCAACAGTAGGGGAAAACCCCCAAGAGGCTCCCGGGCCTGAGGCAGCTGCTGCTGGGGATTCCCAGTGACAGCGCAGCGCCGGTATGTAGGGGTCTGAGCGGCTCCCACAGAGAAATAATCTTTGAAGGCAGGATGGTAATCTGGATGAACTGATGGTAAGAGTGAATTAAATAAATTGCCAATTTTGAGCTAATTAAAAAAATCCTGAATGCAATATTTCACTCAGACGGTAAAATAAAGTAAAACTTAAAATAAATAAAAGAGTTCTATGCGCACAATGTTCTGTGATTCAATGGCGATTTTAGGTTCTTTTATTGTGATATGGTTTACTGCGGTTTACTGTCATTTCTCTGTTCAACTGTCGATAAGATTGAGGAAAAACATTTCCATTTTTTTAATGAAGAACAATTTTTGGAATCCTGCAGGGATGATTTTATGGATCTCCAAATTCTCCAAAAAGCTTTTCTGGAGACAGAATTATGTAAACTTTGTTCCCACTGCATCTCTGACAGCAGCTAATGAGCAGGTGAAGGTAGGAAGGCGTTAGCAGGGTGCTACCTTTTCAATCTGCTTTTGCTTGTTTAGCTCCTCCTGCTGTTTCTCTTTGGCCTTGTCTTCCTCCTTCTTCTTTTCCACCGCTTTACGGTCCTAAACCACAACAAAAGTGCAACAGAACTGAGCCGCCTATATCAGACAAGGGAACGAGCCGTAATGGACTCCGAATCAGGCTCACCATCTCTGAGTGGAAAGCTATCTGCTTGGCCAAACCGATGCTATCGCAGATCTAAAACAGAACCAAGACATTTGGGTCAGAGACAGTAGAGGCTGTGATGACAGCGGGACAAACAGAAGCTCCACCTTCTCGCCGTCGTTGTTGGACTCAAAGATGTAGCAGACGACTCGAGTGTCCCCTCGCCCGCCTAACGCCTGCAAAACGAAACCAAACAGCCGCTTGTTGTCCTGATGGGACGAACACTGGACCACGCTGGGCAGGGGGAACTGCAGCGAGTCAGAGGACACGGTCAGCAAAGATCGGCTACTCAAGCTAGTACAGATGCAAAGAGAAAAAGTGGGGCCATCTCACCCTGAGTCGAGTGACCTGCGTCTGAGGATCAATCAGTCTGGAAAACAAAACGATTAACTGTAGGTTAGGATAAAATAACAGCTGAAAAAATTATTAATAAATCAGAAGAAACATCCTTTTTTTCCCTAAAGCTCGAAACCTAGTAGTTTACTTCTAACATCGACTTGAAATTCATGTTTTAACAATTAGGATGTTCCAAAGAAATAAAAAAAACAACAACAATCCACTAGACTTTGTTTCTAACTTTGAAGACGTTTCTCTTCCATCCAGGAAGCTTTTTCAATTCAAAATTTTAGAAATAGCGTTTAGTTCCAGGCTTTATAGAGTGGACCAAACCAAAGCCTTGTTTTGGCTTAAAAACGTGCAAACTGAACCTGCTGCTAAATCACACTGTTCCTGATTCTGATAAAAGTTTCTTGTTGAAAGGGAGTTTTTCTCTCCACTGTTGCAGCATGTATGCTCTGTGTGAGGGATTGCTGGAGAGTGAAACACAAAGCAGGCAGATATCTACTGTCTCTACAAGCTCATCCAGGAGCAGTGAATCCTGCAAGTCGACCAGTCAATCAACCTCAGGGGAAAGGCTTTCAATTGGCACTATAGAAATAAACTGAGGTCTTAAGGTGGGTTCAGACCGAACCAGTGTTGTTTTCGTCAATAATGACGATGACCAAATCATTTCGTTGACGATAACAAACACTGACAAGCTAAACGGGGACCTTTGATGACTAAAATGTGACTAGTTAGTGGTAGCAGCAGCGGCAGGGCTGAGAAAATGAAAAACTATCCAGTGCTGCACGCTGAACTCTGACCAACTCTGATCCTCCAGCTGTGCTCATGCAGAAATGCGTCTTTGCGCTCATAGCTCAGAGTCTGCGCTTCACGCTACACTCTGGTGGTTCGCTCTCAGCAGTACGGCTCTTCCTGCTCTCACTACTTAATAAACAAGATATGGCTGATCATCCTCTGCCAAGCATAAAAAAACCCCTTTACTATCAAGATTTTATTCCTTCCAGCTCACAGGAGGTGATGCTAAACATTCTTTTATTTCTACCAAAAGGAATCCCTAAATTATATCCAAGGCAAATATTTCATTGAATTCTGTTTATTTTTGGATAAAGATCCAGATGAAAAGGTTCATAGATCTTTGAATATTTCTCTCTAAATGTTCTTGTTTCTATCTATTTATATATGAATTTATGTTGAACGAGAGCGAGCATTTGTGCTGAAGTGAAGAGAATTGATTGGTAAATCACAATATATGTCATTAAAACATTTTATTGCTTTATTATTGGGGGTGTTGCTTTATTACTTGAGGCAGTCGCAGGTGACGAGCAGGTGAGACTCGGTCATCCTGAAGATGTTGTGGATGGCTCTGGCAGCCAGGATCTGCCTCATGGTCTCAGAGATGACGTCTGCAGACTCGGATGTCTTCACCTCCATCGACCCGAGGAACCGGACGATAAACAGCTGGTGGAGGATCGAATCTGGATCAAAAAACGAAGGGTTAAGTATAAACACCCGCGTTTCACATCTGAATCATCTCTATCACCAACATACAATCACACAAATGATCAGAGTTCACATTTTATGATAGTTGAACTCAGAATAGTAAAACAGTTTTACATCCTGGGGCGGGTTTTCCTCTGGCGGTTGGAGCTGAGGCGCATTTATATTGGTTTGTAGAAACGTAAGCAATGTTTATGTTGAACGAGAGCGAGCATTTGTGCTGAAGTGAAGAGAATTGATTGGTAAATCACAATTTAAAAAGAATGCAGTTTGTTAAACGTAATCTGAAAATTTTAACATCTGTGAAAAACTTTGTTTTACAAAAATAAAGTTTGAAATAATGTGATTTCAACATCTAAAATTTGTTAAAACAAATTTTGAAAATATAATTGGACAAAATAAAATATAAAATCGAATTAAAAAAAATGTTTTAAATATATATATAAAACTCAAGACAACAGCAAAGTTAATTACAAAACTTTTCTTTTGACCAAAACTTTTTTTCAAAGGTTCATTTCTGAATTGCATTTTTTTTTATCTATTTACAAAATGTGTGTTTTTTTTTCTATTATTTTCATTTTTTTTTTAAGTCTTCTTTGCTGCACCAATACTGAAAGGAATCTCAGTCCATAATCTGCGAGGGAAATGGTTCCCCTGCATTCATGGCACATCCACCTTCCTCAGAGAGACTGGATCAGATTTTAAATCATCCGTTAAGCTACATTCACTCAACAGGCCTTGATGCTCAATTCCCTTTTTTTCTCTGAAATGTAATTTTTTTTGTGTTGTCGTTCACATTTCCAAATATCTGCAACTTATATGCGATCTCCTGTGTGAACTGCATTCATACAGCTTCAGTGACCCGCAAGGGCAGTGGAGGTCGTAATGATGAGATTAGATTAGATGAGCTTTATTGATCTCACAGCGGAGAAATTCACTCGTCACATATTGGCATAGTAATTAAAGAAGGTGCAAAGAAGGAGGAAAAGGTGCATTAAGATGAATAAACAATACATATATATATACAGTATATCCAGGTATATACAGTATATCAAGATAAATAAGGATTAAGGTGCAAGTGTACATGTATTGCACACAATGAAAAACAAAATAAAATAAAAATAAGAAATAAAAAGATTAAAAAAATACAAGGTAGTAGCACAGAGGTTTGGGGTGACATATGTAGAATCCAGATGGCTTATATACAGGTGGATTTACTTTAACGTTAAAGTGTAGTAGGTAAGGAGCAAAGGTGAGGTAGTGGTATGACTATTCTATTTACATATATTGCACAGTCAGAATATTGCACAGAATATTGCAGTCAATAAATAAAAAACTATAATATAGCTGCTAATGATGTCACAAGCAGCAAGTGTGCTCTGTGTTTACGGAAGTAGATATAGATGGTGGTGTTGGAGCGCATCTAGCGATCTTTACCAACCTTAAAAATCTATATTTTCAAGGTGGTTAAAAATAAACATTTGGTTAAAAATGTAATCAGCATTAAAATCAACTAAAATCACTAAATAATCAGTGTTAATTTCATTTAAAATTGTTAAATAATTTGTGTTAATATGAATTAAAATCGCTAAATAATCAGTGTTAATATCAGTTAATATCACAAAGTAATTAGTGTTATTATCAGTTAAAATTGCTAAATATACACAAGCGTGACCTCTGTGTTTATGGAAGTAAACAAGGAAGTTAGCACTGGAGTCGGGTATTAATGGCGTTCAGGTGGGATGAATGCGACCTGGCCGTTCAGACACAGTTCGCATTTGACAAGATCAGATTCGTATCGTATTCAGGACCACCGAGCCAGGCGGCCTGGATCGCATTGGAACAAATCGGATCTGTGTTGTTCAGACTGCCATTAAAGGTCAGATCCAGGTCACATATGGGGAAAAACTGATTCGGGTCACTTCAGGCTGCAGAGTGAATGCAGGCTTAGCCTTAGAAATAGACTTAGATCATTTTTATTGTCATCAACCTTTCTCATCACATTTTAACCGACATCTGCCTCATTTTTACCTGCTTTTGATAGAATGTAAATCACTCTAAATCTGTCAGATTTACAAATAATTTTAACTGCAACTCTTCACTTCCTTTGTAATCTATTTCATTTGAAACCCACTAACTGAGTGACAGCTCATTGCTGAGAATGTAGGTTCTGTAGAGATAACTTTGTTATAACGACACGCTGCGTTTCTCTCCCACTCCAGAACTCATCAGTTAAATGAAAAAATACTTTTATCATCTTCCAGTTTACGTACCTTATGGAAGAGGATTAGGGCCACTGGAAAAAAAAAAAAGTTAACAGATTTTTTTTTATTTTATTTCAGTATAGTATGGGGAAAAAGTCAGAATTCTGACTTTTTTCTCAGAATTCTGAGATTAAAGTAAGAATTCTGACTTTTTTCTCAGAATTCTGACTTTATTCTCAGAATTCTGACTTTATTCTCAGAATTCTGACTTTATTCTCAGAATTCTGACTTTTTTCCCATGTTAAACTGAAATAAAATTTAAAAATCTGTTTACTTTTTTTTTTTTTTCAGTGGCCCTAATCCTCTTCCGTAGTACCTGCAGCATCAGACACTGGATGTGTGTAAATGTGTTTGATTTTTTCAAAAAGACTTGAAATTATGTAAACTTTTATAATCTTTCTTATTAAAACAATTAGAATTGTTCAAATTCAAACAAAGGTTAATGCTAAAGGGGTTTGCCAATTAAAGCATCTAAAGATCTTAATGTTTGGTCCATAAATATCGCCGCAATCAAGAACTCTGGGGAATAAAAACCGTCTCTCTAGGATGAAACGAAGAGGCTTCCTTAGAAGCAGCTGTTTCCTTCCTTTATAGAAGGCAGATCTATCAATCCTGAACGGCCTTAAAGCTTCGGAATCAGAGCGACGACATTAGAAAGTTGGAACAATATCAGTTTTAAAAGACACAAACCTGGTTAAATCACCAACATTTATACACAAGCTAAACATTAGTGAATGGAGTTTAGTCTGCATAATTTTAGTCATTAAAGGATGGAACCACCCTGAACACTCTGTTTTAAAGATGCATCTGAGATCCAGTAATGCTGGATGGAACAGTCTTAATTAAATTAGAGAAGACATGCAACCACTGCAGGCGAACAGGATGTACCTTCAGCGTCGGGTGAATCGTCTCCTGACTCTCCAAACGGATTACTCCTCCTGCAGAAACACAGGTAGTCGTGTTAATCTTGACAAAAACAAACCCAAACCTCAACTAAACCTGAGGATTATATTTTTTTCCTCTTTCAAATCCCATAGAAATACATCACTGACCTACTTTAAGAGGAGTCAGGCTTTCTATGGTTTTGCTATTCCACCACAGTAAAACTACACTCTCTTCCAATCCTTGGAAATAAAAGGTGAATTGTTCTATTTCACCATCAATCGTCAAACTATCTTTAGTTAAGCCCCTGTCACACCATGAAAATTTAGACCTGACGTACGGAAAATCTGGAAAAAACGCTGGAATACGTTGTATAAGTTATGAGCACGCTGAAGTACGCTGAAACACGTAGACATACCGCGAGTACGTATGCCAGCGTATGCTATATGTGGTCCATCAGTTCCAGGTCAGCTATCTGATGGTTGACATCCGTTCAGAGTCAGTTCCTCATCAGTCGTGGCGTCTAGCTTATCCTAAACCTCTGAGTAACTTCTGAGTAACTTATCCAGAACTTCTCTCCAACGCATATCAGCGTATCTGACGTGTTCCAGACGAGCGCAGAACGTGTTTCAAACTTCCAGCTACTGTATAATGGCGTATTGGCAGCGTTTTGGTATAAAGGGGGTTCACAGGAGGAAACCGTCAGTTCTCCTCCAGAATTCATCCCCATCATAGGGGGAGCCAGAAGGTGAGGGTGATGGATCCTCCCTGCGTTCACGCCCACCACCAACACACTTCCTAGCAGACATGACGCTCAATCTGCTGCCACCAAAAACCTTATTTCTTTCTATTTCTTTTTTTTTTTTTGGTGGGTGGTAAACAGGAGCTAGATTAATTCTGCGATCAGAGAAATCTTTTTCTGCAGGCCGGGTGCATCGCTGCCCCCCTCAGGACACTGTGCATCATTTCATGGGCATTACACTGCCGTGCATTATGCAGAAGTTAGGCTGTCGTGGGACAGAAGTTCTGGACTTATTATGAATACTCTATCTATACGCCCAGAATGGAAACAATTAGGGATGGAACGATTTATGAAAACCGTCCGAACCGTTCGGTTCGACTGTCTCAGTTCGGTTCGCGTGTGTTTCGTTCGGTTCATGCGCTGCTCCTTTTTCTCATAGGCGATGCGATTACACTCCAGAGCAGAAGGTGGCGGTACTGCGACCAAAGCTAACCATCAGTAGTAAACAAGAAGAAGAAGAAGCGAAGCAGCTTCCATTGTAGCAGAAAAAAAATCAGTTGTGGAGAATTGTGTGGGTATGGCGAGTGGGAAAGAACAGGAGTTGGAAGAGGCGCCAGCAGCACTTTATAGGTCTGCTGTATGGGACCACTTTGCATTTAGAGTGACCTACGATGACGGCGGAAAGAAAGCTGTGGATAAAAGTGCAACAGTGTGCAAGCATTGTGCAACACGTTTTGTTTATGCTAACAGCAACACGACCAACATGTCAGGCTAACAATCAACATATACCGAACTGAAAACCGTGACCACGAAACCGTGAACCGAACCGAACCGTGGATTTTGTGAACTGTTCCACCCCTAGAAACAATCCATAGAAAGTTCAGCGTCTGCCAGCGTTTTAGGAGAGTCTGGGACGTCAGGCAGACGCTGGAGAAATCAGCAGGGTGTGACAGGAGCCTCATTAGAGACTGAATTGGAATTGCCCACATCGAGTCTGTAATCATGCAATATAAAATGAAATGCATTTGTGTGAAAATGAATTTCAAAGAATGGAAAGTTTGATTTAATACCAGTGTCAGATACATCCACATCATTTTAATAAACACAGTAAAACTCATTATCAGGGTGATTATCCCACACAGAAAAGGATTAAGGGTTTTCTCAGGCACCTGCCGGGCTGTGCCGCCATCTTGCTCTGACCCGAGTTCTCCTCTGTGACGGGGGAGATGATGTCAAACTGGATGGGCGTATCCGGAGCAACCAGAGCGTCCAATGAGAGGACAGAGAGGGCAGGCGACGGCTCAGAACCAACGGAGCTGATGCTGCTGGTTCGGCCCGTTCGGCCCTTACTGGAAAAAAAACACAAAACAGAAACAAAATCAGACGGAGGCAGACGAGTTCATGTTTAACAGATCCACCCTTAACTGCAACAATAAAAAAAACATTAAAATCAATCCACTGGACTTTGTTTCCAAGTTTAAAGACGTTTCTCTTCCATCCAGGAAGCTTTTTCAATTCAAAATGTCAGAAATAGCGTTGAGTTCCAGGTTTTATCCAGCAGCCCAACAAAGCCTGGTTTATGTTTAGAAAACATGCAAATAGAAACGGATGAACGGGTCCCCCCCTTTAGAATGGGGGTCGTTTGGCTTCTTTGTTAGCCTGCAATGGATGGAAGAGAAACGTCTTCAAACTACGAAACAAAGGCCAGTGGATTGTTTTACATTTTTTTGGAATGACTCTGACCTGCATGACTGAGAATCTTCACCAGCAACCATAACGTTACAATTATTTATTATCAATGTCAATACAATGCAGTAGAAATACTGTATGTTCCTAGAGCTTTTACTAATTTAAATAAAATCTTGCCCGCAGATGAGGCCATGTTGTTTACGCTGCAATGTATTCTGGGTAAATGACGTATTCTATGTCCTGTAGCACTAGCTCTGTCCAGCTAAAACAGCAATGATGGGAACTGGCTGTATTAAACACACGTAAATAAAACACTAAAAACCAAAACGTTCATGAAGTGCTATCAGTTTATCCACATTTAGCAGATTATGGTCACTATAAAACCTTCTCCTTCTCTAAACCCCCCCCCCCCTACCTGCTTGGTCTCATGCTCTCGTGTCTCTGCTGGAACGAAGGCGATGGCGTCACAGCTTCCAGGGCTGTTTGGTTCACTCTGGCTGCCAGCTCCTAACAGAAACACAGCATCAGAGCTAATTAGTATTAACCCATTTAGGCCGGGAAAGCATTACCGCATTTCTACCATTCAAGCCGGGGGCGCTGTTGCGTAATTCTACCATTGACGCCGGGAGAGCATATAAGTCAAGCAAGAAGAAAGAAGTTTTTTTTCAAGCAAACATGGAGGAGTTTGACAGAGAAGAGTTGTCGGAAGGCAGTGATTTTGAGGAGGGTGTCGGCTTTGATGACGGTATAGATGAAAATGATGACTTTGAACGCGCTGAACCAATCGAACTACCACCGCAATGCACGGAGTGTTTTCAACCGCACACCTGGAGTGAAAGTTGATTTGCCTGCAGACGCCACACCGCTGCAGGCATTTTAGCATATTTTTAATAAAGAACTTTGGATGCATCTTGTTACTGAGACGAATAGGTACAGTGACCAAACAAACCAAACTCCAACAAGAGCAAAGATGGCAAAGTGGTCACCCGTGACTGTGACGGAGATGAAGACATTTATTGGGCTGTGTATGGGCATGGGACTTCTTGTGTTGCCAGTACGAAGAGATTATTGGCGACAGAGTAAACCTCTCTTCAGGACGCAGTTCCCCCAAAATATGTCCCGGGACAGATTTGTGGCCATCTGGAGGTAAGTTGTATGCAATTTATAACACAGACATATGCATTATTATGCATAATAATACTGCTAATAAGTAATCATCAGATAGTTATTTATGTAATGTTTGTTCTTTATTTTAAAAACGTTTTATATTGCACATTCTCAATGAAGACATGATCACATATGGAAAAAATAAAAGGTTGAATTTTTTATTTATTTTTTTTTGATTACTGCTTTTCCCTTTTTTTTTTGGAAGAATTTCAAAGATAAAATATATTTTGAGTTCTATCTGCTACAGAAGCTGAGATATCAATAATTTACTAGGCGTTGACACAGTTGCTGAATTTACAAAAAAACTTCAGGTTTTAGGGGTATTTTTTAAAATCGGCCATAGGTTTTTAAGGTGTTTTTTCCAGGCGTTTTAGGCCTAAATGGGTTAATCTGTCCTCTGGAGGAGTCCAGAGCAGGGATGGACGGAATTTGTTCATGTTCCTGTATTTTCATCTTTCTTTTTATTTATCTTTTGTATTTTCTGTAAAGTGACCTTGAGTGTCAAGAAAGGCGCTGTTAAATAAATAAATAAATAAAATAAATAAATGTATTATTATTAAAAAACAGAAATGAAGTTTTATAAAAAGTTTTTTGTGAAAAATATTTAAATATGTTTTAAAATATTTCCTCATGCTCAAATTTAGTTATTTTTTTATTTCATTTCAGGTTTTAGATTTGTATTTTTTTTTTTCAAATTTTTCAGGTTGAGTTTTGCATTTTTCATATTCTGCTGCAAACGCTCGCTCTTGGCCAATTAAAAATGCTGTTGCTAATGCAGACCAATAGCAATGAAGCTTTCCTTGTCACTCCAGAAGAAAACCCTCCCCCAACTATCAGGAACATGTCACCTGAAAAATGCAATTTGAAAAGAACGCAACTCATAAATCTCAATGTAAAAAAGAGAAACTTGGAATAAAAATAAAGAATGTTAATTATTATTGGAACAAATAAAATTTGAAAAAAATAAAGTTTAATAACTATTTTATCCTCAAATATTATTTTTTTTAAATAAAAAAAATAATATTTGAGGATAAAATAAAGTTATTGTTTTGTTTAAGATGATATTCATCGTTTTAATTCTGGACTGCATTTTTTTTTAAAGTTAAATTTATTCTAATAGAATAAAATTGACTCCATAAATGTGACAAATTGTTGAAGGTAGCGTTGCAGTGTTTATTTTCAGTCCATATGGAGTCAGTTAAGGGAAAAATCCAGTCATATTCAGAATCCAAACTTCTGAAAGTGTTTTAAAAATGAAATTATTACCGTATTTTCACGACCATAAGGCGCACCGGACTAAAAGGCGCAATCTCAGTTATGTGTGCCATTTCTGTATTTAACACACACATAAGGCGCACCGGACTATAGGGCGCGTTTTTTATATACAGGTACATGTCCTCTCAGGTGGATTTTCCCACTTAAAAACATATTAAAACTACTTTATTCCCACTGATCACAGCAAATAAAGCTGCAAGGTGTATTTATTACAAAGTATTATTCAAACCTGGCAACCGGCCGTGAGAGACACATCGCTGATGACACAGGGCTGTGATTACTCCTCTGATACAGTTTATTGACGCATAAATTAACTTAAAACATAGACAGGATAATAATCTGGATGAACTGACTGCAATGATTACATTTTCAAGTGGACTTTCTCACTTAAAAAGATTTAGATTATTTAGATGAAAAAACACCTGCGGAGGTGAGCCCGGATGCGCCGCGGCCCAGAGGCTGCTGTTGAATTAAGTTTTCAGGTAGAAAAATAGAGCGGGAGCAAAACTGAGTATGATTGTGCTTTATTCAAGTATTTATTACAGAGTATTAATCAAACCCATCAAAGTCCTCATCCTCTGTTTCTGAATTAAACAGCTGCGCTAAATCCGACATGCCAGTTTCCCCTTCTTCTTCGCTGTCAGAGTCACTTTCCGTGCCGGGCGGCTCCTTGGAAATGATGCCGGCTTTTGCGAAATCTTGAACAACAGAGCCAGCAGACACGTTAGTCCAAGCATCTACAATCCATCCGCTAACGGTGGCGTAACTTGCCAGGCGCTGCGTTCCACTTATCCTGAAACTGTGGTCTCCGTCGGTCATCCACCGCTCCTACGCCGCTCGCAGCCTTACTTTGAACGGCCGCTTCACACCGATGTCGAGCGGTTGAAGCTCCTTTGTCAGACCCCCGGGATAACGGCGAGCACAGCGTTCATTTGATTCACCTTTTTTTTCACATCGGCTGTGAGATGGGCACGCAGCGATGGTGATGCGTGGAAAAAACCACCTGGTCTCCTCACATAGGCTACACCTCCCTCAGCCACGCTTTCATCATCTCCTCATCCATCCAGCCTTTTTCATTTGCGTTAATATCATATGTCATCAGAGCGCTGTGTCTGTCTCGCTGTCAGCTCCCAGATCAGCTTCTCTGATTGGTTGATGCGGCGGGTCCAGCAGCAAAACTTCAATTTTTCCATCTCGAGCAGCAGCAGCGCGTTGGCAGATGCTTAAACGCGCCTGCTGCTCAAAACGCGCTGGGGGACCTTTTGCTGCGCCTATACACGCGTCAACCATTGACTTTGCATGTAAACTCGCTGCTCCTGCTGCACCTGCTGGGTCCGGTTCACACCGATGTCGAGCGGTTGAACAGCGAGCACAGGGTTAATTTGTTTCCCCATGTTTTTCACATCAGCTGTGAGATGGGCACGCATGGAGTCACAGATTAATGGTGATGGTGATGAGTGGAAAAAAAACACCTGGTCTCCTTACATTCAGCCACTCTTTCATCATCTCCTCAATGAGGTGGTCTCAAAAGTCGCAGTTACAACACACATAGGGCGCACCGCACCAAAGGGCGCACCGCACATTTTGAGGGGAAAAAAAGACGTTTAAGTGCGCCTTATAGTCGTGAAAATACGGTACATCCTGTTCAATAAAATTAAGTAAAGTAAATTTCAAGTCAAGTTCATTTCTTCTAAATGTTGGCTACATATTACTGCCGAAAGATGGCAGGAGGGAGGGGTTACTATATTTGGGCAAAAATGGCTGCTTCCAGACTCAGTGGCAAAGATTACTATTTTTATTTTTTTATTGATTAACGCTAAATTCATTAAATCACTGAAATGTATTAGTTTTAGGTATAAATAATAATCCATTGATTAATCCTTGCTGACAGTATTTTTTCATTAAAGGGGTGATAGAATGATTCTATAGGGTATCTGGTCCTTCAGGTCTCTAATAGGGTGTGTAACATTGGTTGGGCTGAAAATGGCATATTAGCTGTTCTATGAGCCCTAATGCAGCCTGGTTAAAAGCCCTAGAATGAAACCACAGGTTTTCTTCCTTTGATGGTATGATCATGAATATTTAGATGAGCTGTGCTCTGATTGGTTGGTTTATAACGAGCAAAGCTGCTGAGCAAAGATGCATCATAGCAACAAGCACTCACTCACTGAAACATCAGATTGTTGATATGGTAGGGGGACCAGACGTTCTCTGTTTCACTGACATGTTCTACTTTTCAGACCTAAAAAAATTTTGGGGTTTTAGTCGACCACAGGGCAGCAGAGATGAGCCGTCAGCTCCTAATTGACGTCAACTCTGTGCTTCGTTTGGATTCGCCCGTTTTATGGCAGAAGTTTAGAATAGTGAGATTTGTAGAGAAAGGAGGTGTTGATGGGGTTTGAACTTCTCTGTACGTCAATTTCACCCACTGAACCATCGTTATTCATCTATGGCAATGGAAACTGGGTTTTGCATTCAATGATCCCTCTAAACATGAACCATGTGTGAACACAGACACACACCTCTGCATTTTCACTCAGGTAGATCCTCCTGGAGATGTTGTTGATGGTTGCGATCCACTGTCAGAGGAAGACGCAGAGATTTGAGTCTAAAATGATCAGCTAGCAGAGAGCGGGTTAGATCACAGGAAACGGTTTTACCTCTTCGCAATCCTTCCTGCTCTCCGCCTGCAGGGTCACAACCCTGACGAGACAAAAAGTAACAAAATAGATTTTTAAATGATAAAATAGGAAACACTGAGAGCAACAGATGAAGGAGATGCTGCAAACACACTTTTTCCCGTCAAAGGAGGTGACCTGGAAGCAGAATCGACGGTCGTCAGAGTCGACGGCCATGACGGAGCAGTTGTCGAGGTCGGTGACCAGGCCGCCCGCCACCTCGCCTCGACCCTGCTGCATCAGGTTTCCCCCCTGGGTGAAGAAGTACTGACGCTCCCAGGATGACGACACCAGGCCGGTTTTACTGCCAGAAACGCAGCGGAGACGCGTTTAGATTCAAACATCCAGGAAAACCTGCAGCTTTCTGTTCATTTATAGAAACACTTTGATCTAAGGAGCAGATGTGTTTATGCTACTTTTACGACGAGTGTCGTCCAGTTTATAAAGAAAGTCAAAGCGGACGAGTGCTGATTGGCGTGGAGAGGTCCGGTGGAGCGCCTCAACCACCAGATGCCTCAGGTCTTGAAGCGTTTCGAGCAATCGGGCGCAGCGCATCAATGCACCTAAAAGATGGTTCAAAGCTCCAGACAGTCGAGTTGGAAAATCTGGATTTGTTGTCTTTAACATTGTGATGGCCGCATGTGCAACCACACAACAAACGGTCTGATAATTCTTTCATTTCAATAAATCTTTTATATTTTACTGCACTGTATTTCCCTTTTTTACTTTGACGTGGCATTGGTTAACCACTTTGGTGCACACATTTAGTTGACTCATTTTGTGATTTCTTGCCTTTTTGGTTTACTGTAATTATAATATAACAATATTATTATTATTATTATAATTACTGTCATTTGAGTAACCAGTCCCTGACAGGCTGTCACGTGAGGCGGCCAGTAAAGGAAAGGAGGCCTCAGCTGCGAAGGATCTCCTCAATTCATTGGCTGCGTCTTCCAAGGACGCGGTCTACCTGGACTGGATCATTCCAAGTCCATGAAAATAAGGAGACCGGAAGAGTTTTGGCTGAGGATTCAAACAGGTCCGGCCTTCCAAGCTTTCTCCGCCCTATGCTCTGTTGCTTAGCAACCGTGAAAGTTGACACAAACTGTTTCTTTTTAATTTTTTTGTTTGTAAAGTGGAATAAAGGGGCCAACCACCGGGAGCATGAACAAATAAAAGACTATAAATCACTCTCAAAAGTTAAATTTTTTGAAAAACATCTTCCTCAGATCTTTTTCAGAACGTGTTCTTTCCCTTTCAGTAACACTGAACTAATTTCTTCCTATACTAGGCCAGGTTCTTCTCTGTGAGGAATACCTTCAGGTTTCCTCTAAGACAGAGTTGGTTTCAGCCATTCAGTGCTTTAGCTCCGCCCCCTGGGGATCAGTAGGGACTAGTGATGGGTGCAGTAACACCAATGCGTGGAGCCATTAGAGCTAAGCACTGTATCGGTGCGCGTGTCATTTTAAGAAAGTCATGTGAGCGATCCAGTTGTTTCTAACCAACTGACTCTCTAAACGGTTTAAAAACATCTCTGTTAACATGATGCAGTTAACTTTGCGGTTTCTCATTAAAATGATCAAGATCTTTGGAGCCTAAAAGGAATAGGAACATTTCAGCCGTTGCGTTTTTATTTTAATGTTCTCGTGTAGGGATGCATGATATAATCGGCCCCCTATCGGTATCGGCCTTAAAACTGAATATCGGACATCGGCCACCCCACCGATATTTAACCCGATATTTGATCAGCTTCTGAGTTTCTAAAGTCAAAAAAAAAAAAAATACTACTTCTTCTTCCTCAAAAACTTCTTTTTTACAGACTTAAAAACTTCTAAAGACGAGGGAAAAAATATTGATACATTAAAATATCACAATATCTTCATATGCTGATATATTGCCATTTAAAAACACCATATCAATCTCTTTTACTAATGAAATATTGCTATATGTCATCGTTATGCTACGAAATCCCCCGAAAATTCACAAAATGTTGCCATATTTTTATATGTTGATATATTGACGCGGTATCGATCTATTTTACTAACAAAATCTCACAAGAATTTGCAAAATATCACGAGAGTTTGTAACAGAACGATGAAATTTCACCAGATTTTGAAAGTAAAATAGATCTATAACGCATTTTTAAAAATCTATTTGATATCAGCATATAAAAATATATTTGAGTTTATTATTTTTCAAAGTGTCAGAAATGGATAACAAAACTGCTATTTTCAATGACTACTTATTTTTGTCCAGCTTTAACATCGGTATCGATATCGGTTATCGGCTACATGAGTTTTAAAATATCGGCAAAATCCCAATATCGTGCATCCCTATTCTCGTGTTATCCTTTTCCTCTCAGTTATCACTCAACTTATCTGAATTAAATTTTATTTCAAATTGACTCTTAGTTTATTTAATGTTTTTACTGAGCTTCAAGATGCCTCATTAACATCACTAGTAGGGATGAGACTGAAGGAAAGGATTATGTGTCGCTATGGTTCTATTGATCTCAGAGCTTCTCCGTCTCTCTGAATCCTAGTTTTCAATGAGAAGAATTTGTAGGATCAGAAGCTTGGATGATGTCAGAATATCTATAGATCTATATGTTCCTCTGATGCGTCACACGTGACTCTGGTATTATAACATGAACGGCGCTAAGGGAACTCTCAGTACTTCCAGCCGTCTGGTGGTCTTCCAGGATTCATAGAACCGTAGTTACAAACAGAAAAGCTGCAGGTTTCTAAAAGTTTAACCAACCGTTTCACACTGATTAACGTGCGCCTTACTTGCGGATGAATAGGTAGCCTTGTTTCCTGGTCAGGCTGCGACAGACCGGCGAATGGGCGGGGTCAGGGTCACACGGCGCATAAAGAACGTCACATGACCTTTCCATCTGTTGGATGGTCTGCTGCATCTGCCCCACCTCTTCCTCCATCTCCCGACGTACGCTGCAGACACGATAAAGTGTTTATCTCCAACTAACTGCTCAGCACAGAACCAGACACAGAATCAGGCTCTTACTTCTGGACGCTGGTTCCGATGGTTCCCAGGAAGTCTTCCCACTGCTGGGTGAGGTACTCTGACCCCAACTTAAAGAAGCTGATCTGAACAGAAAATATATATATATTTTAACTCAAAACCAACTTTACTCTCATTTTTATCAAAGGCTTTAACCTTTGGTAGATGAATGTTATCCTGAGCTATCTCTATAGTTATGCTGCTATAGGCTTAGACTGCTGGAGGACATGGGGACCCCTTTTTCATCATTCAGCGTTCGTTCATAGTAGCTTCAAACATTAAGAAAAAAAGCATATTTCCCAAATAAATAAGACTTTAATATATTCATATATAAAATATTTGTTAATCAAAGGTGCTACAGAAGAACTGTGCAGCAGTCAAAGACTTTTTTGCTACTCGACTGCTCTTTTGATTATTTTTTAATCGGATAGCAAAGGTTACTTAAAGCAGATTTTTTACAGAATTCAACCAAGTGAAACCAAAACGTTTTTCAGGAGTTCTGGGTAGAATATATCCATGGAGAATTTTTATTTCTTTAATCTTAAACACAAAATATTTATATATATTTTTTTTTACAATCTTGTGGATCTCTCTGTCAGCTAAAGGCGTGTTTTAGAGCCTCTATACTTCAGTTAATTATTAATTGATTACTAAGTTAATTTGGGATAATTTCAATAATGGATTAATCCGATTAATTGTTTCAGCCCTAGATGGAACAATTTTTTATCTAAAAAAAAAACAATCAACAATTAATTTTTTTTTACATCCCATATACAGACATACATTTTTCTAGAAATATTCCTGTATAAAATGAAATTTCTGTCCTATTCTTGGGTCTGAACGACAGCGAGGAGAGTTTGGTCTCCCTCTAAAACTGTTAGGATTAATAAATTCACCAGAGCCATAGCTTCACCGCCACATTTTCAGATATCAAGTACATTAAGATTTACTGTGTTTGACTTGATGCTGCTACGGGATCTGCTGAGGGACAGATGCCTCGCCAGTAAAAATGTGGAACTGGAGTCACAAGGATTGAAATCAATCCAGAGGGCAGTACATGTGAAAACACGTGAGTGTGAGTGCGTTTGCACAAACCTGGGCCTGCATGTAACCCAGCAGTGGCTCCAACAGAGCCGTCTTTTTCTTGTACTGCAGGGTGTTCAGGGCACAGAAGTAGTGCATCATGGTCTGGTGCTGCTTCTTGCGTGAGGTGTAGACGTCCTCCACCACCTCCGCTCTCACCTACAGACAAAAGGAAAAACAAACCTATTTATGGGTAGGATTTACAACTGAACGAGGGAGCTGAATCCATTTTAATTTTATATAAAGCTTTAAAGGAAAAGTCGGGTCAGAGTCCAAATTCAAACTTCTGAAAGTCCTTTAAATATGAAATTTTTCCATCCTGTTCAATCAATGATCAGTGTTTTTAATTAAAAGTAATTTCCATGTGAATGTGCTTTACTGGAGGCATCCATGTTTGTCAAAGAACACTACTGCCACCTACTGGTTTGTGACGTCATGGTGCGGTATCGGCTGTTGATCAAGTCCCAGTGCTGTATCTGGTGTTTGTCACAACGCGCTATTATCCAAGTCATCTTGAAAACATTCTTCTTCCAAATGTTGGCTACATATTACGGGTTTTTTCTCTGGCCAGAAGTTCGATGGCAAATCCTCCCTCTTCAAGTTGGCGATCCAACGACCAACCCGTCCGTGGAGGATCAGGAATCAGAAAGGTGGAATAACTCTTTTTTTCACTTTTACCCGATGTATTCCAGCATCCAGCTGCCATGCACGTGGGCATTGTCAGTTTCACTATAGCTCTGGTGAATTTCAATGGTGAAGTCCTCTGGAAATCTTCAATAATTGTTGTGGATTGCAGATGTGTCTAGTAGTTCCCATTGTTTTAGCTTGTAAAGCGGGGAGAATGGCGCTAGGCTTACCGCACCGTGACGTCACTGCTGGAAGATGGCAGGAGGGAGGGGCTACTATATTTGGGCAAAAATGGCCGCTCCCCGACTCAGTGATCGTGACCAAAATGATTGGTCGTTTCTCAATCTGTGTACTTGTGCGTTCTCGTGTCCTTGTGAAACGTCATTAGCCTCAGCCCTAGTACTGTCCCAATTCACAGGAACAGCAGAATGTTTTCTCGCCCCTCCCTCTTTACCCAGCATGCATCAGAGAAGGCTGGATCATTCTCCAGACAGCTGTCCCAGCATGCACTGCAGCAGCTTCCAGGTTAGCACTCACAGAGCTCAGAGGATTAATTTAAAAATCCTCTTTTCTGTTGCTGTTGTCCAATAAAAGTACGTTTTAAGATTATTTAAGGAGAGAATATTATACTTTAAGCTTCAATATATGGCCCATTTACTGATTTAATGAGTAATAAAAAAAAAAGAATTCTGAAGTTGAGAGGACCGAGGCAACCACCGGACCTCCGAGGGTAACAGTGTCCAGGGCTAACATTAGCCCAGCTGCAGCAGCCAGGGCTAACGTCAGCCCGTCTGCAGCGGAAAGGGCTAACGTTAGCCCGTCTGCAGCGGCCAGGGCTAACGTCAGCCCGTCTGCAGCGGAAAGGGCTAACGTCAGCCCGTCTGCAGCACCCAGGGCTAACGTCAGCCCGTCTGCAGCACCCAGGGCTAACGTCAGCCCGTCTGCAGCGGAAAGGGCTAACGTTAGCCCGTCTGCAGCGGCCAGGGCTAACGTCAGCCCGTCTGCAGCGGAAAGGGCTAACGTCAGCCCGTCTGCAGCGGAAAGGGCTAACGTTAGCCCATCTGCAGCGGAAAGGGCTAACGTCAGCCCGTCTGCAGCGGCCAGGGCTAACGTCAGCCCGTCTGCAGCACCCAGGGCTAACATTAGCCCGTCTGCAGCGGCCAGGGCTAACGTCAGCCCGTCTGCAGCGGAAAGGGCTAACGTCAGCCCGTCTGCAGCGGAAAGGGCTAACGTTAGCCCATCTGCAGCGGAAAGGGCTAACGTCAGCCCGTCTGCAGCGGCCAGGGCTAACGTCAGCCCGTCTGCAGCACCCAGGGCAAACGTCAGCCCGTCTGCAGCGGAAAGGGCTAATGTCAGCCCGTCTGCAGCGGAAAGGGCTAACGTTAGCCCGTCTGCAGCATCCAGGGCTAACATTAGCCCGTCTGCAGCATCCAGGGCTAACGTTAGCCCGTCTGCAGCAACCCTCTCTCTGCATAGTCGTGTGTGAAGGACCACTGGCTCTGATGACGAATTTTTTGTTTTATTTGGCAAAATGTTAGTTTGATTTGTGTTTATCTGACTGTAAGAATTTATTATTCTCTATATTCTATTAATAACAGTTCGTGAACTGCAGCTCCAGACTAGCTGTGAATGTGGTGATGTCATCAGTACGCGTCCAATTGACTCAGATTTATTCTGCGTTCTCCCCGAGTAATTAGCTGACCAGACTTTTCCTTTAAAAAATCAAAATAAGGAGACCAAACGCTTTGCAAAAAAAGAAAAAGAAAACCATATCCAAACTAACTGCTGACTGAAGCACAGATTTCCCTTCAGTCACGATAAGCAGTAATGTTCAGACGTAAAGTTTGTTGCTACCTTGTCATTGTCCTTCCTCTTAGACAGGCGGCTGTATCTGTTAATGGCCGTGTCATGATCTGCACACAAAAGGGAACAAAGAAAGGGGCTTTAATAAAAACATTTTCTCTTCTAATAAAACCAGGTGGAATATTCAACAAATAATGTTTTATTTACATCTTGGATTTGAACACATTCCAATTCCTCTACATATAATTTGAGCTCTTTCCAAACTGTTCAATATAAATGTTTGTTCGTCAACATAAAATTCATGCCAGACTGCGAGATAATTGAATTATTTTATTGATAATGGTTTCCAGCTATTTGTATTTACTTTTACCTATGTCCTTGTTCACTGAAAAAATGTGCATCTAAGTAAGACATTTTTTTCTTAAAATAAGAGCATTTCTTTTCTTGAATTGAGCAGGTTAGTGAGACACTTTGCCAATGGAATGAGACAATTTACATTTAAAATAAGAAAAAACAACTGCAGTCTCAAGTGCATATTATGTAATGTTTTTATTCTAAAAGTAAAAATGCTCCTGCCATTGGCAAATAATCTTATTTTCCTACTCTAATTAAGGTTAAATACACTTATTTTAAGAATTTTCTTCTAA